CTAACTTGGATCATCACGGATCTATGGGAATATGAATCGTTATAACTGGAGTATACAGTGCTGTACAAATAGTGTTCAGGCGTTGCCCTGACAGACAGAAGGTGGCTGATTGATCACGTGCATGATATGCAGCTGAACATATGCTGGTCATGCCTTCCTTATGTACAGGACCCGTGAAGGCAGTTTTTATCGGTTTATGTTTGAGAGTAATACACAGAATACTTAACTCGCTTCCGTGAAATACCATTTTTATTAAACTCGTGAAAGATTTAGCATCAAGCTCGCTTTCGCTCGTTTGATACCAAATCATTAACTCGTTAAAATGGTATCACACGGATGGTCGTTTATTATCCTCTATGAATGATATTCAAAGAGTTAACGTCCTTACACCTTTACTAACCCGCGAAGGTCCGGGTTAGAATTGGCCTTCAGTAACCCATACTTGTCGTAAGAGGCGACTAACGGGATCGGGTGGTCAGGCTCGCTGACTTGGTTGACACAATCGTGTCATCGGTTCCCAATTGCGCAGTTCGATGCTTATGCTGTTGATCTCTGGATTGTCTGGTCCAGACTCGATTATTTACACACAACCGCCATATAGCTGGAATATTACTGAGTGCGACGTAAAACTAAACTCACTCACACACTCACTCACTCATTCCTCATGTACAACTCAGGGATACAAAGCGCAGCGAGAACGCTGCAAGTGCTCAGTTACAAAACAAGGCTGTAAATCTGCCACCACAGCCAACTGTTGCAATATTCTGTGTCCTTACGCTAGCACAAATACGGAAGAATATACCGAACTACCGAAGAATATATACACATAGTATTCTCTGTATGGAGACTTTGTCAAGCGCTGCTTAAGATAGGACAAAGTGAGCGAGGATAGTTATATAGCGGTGGTGTGTAAACAATCGAGTCTGGACCAGACAATCCAATGATCAACAGCATGAGCATCGAAATTTACTTCCATTTGTTCTATGCTTGGTTGCAATGCATGGTTATAATGCATGTTTGCAATGCATAGCTGTAATGCATGTTGTAAAATACATTGTTGTAATGCATGGTTGTAATGCAAATTTGTAATGCGTGCTTGTAATGCATGGTTATAATGCACAGTTTTGATGCATGGTTCTGTGGCATGTTTGTAAGGCATGGTTGTAATGCACGTTAAGAACGGAACACAATTTCACAGAACTAAAGCATTTGGGGGGATTACATAAAACCACTGGTCAAACATTCAGTCCATAACAATGTTACTGCAAAAAGTATATTCGCTGTGGCGAAACAAAGTGACCTTGATTAGATGTGATTCAGAGATACAGAGATGTACATTCTGAGGTATGTTGAATGGACGCTCTTTAAGGTCTGTTTCTAAAATGTGTTTTGAATTTTGGGGGAGCGGGGTGTTTATTTTTTGTTTGTATATTCTCAGCTATTTTTATTATATTTCATGCCTTTTCTGAAGGCATACTAAATATACGAATAGATATTACGACTGTTCCTGTCAAATTCGCTCCATGTATAAGTGGTTCTGCTGTATGACAAAACGTGAGAACAACGCCGCATGACAACTAAGCCTGATCCGGAAAAAGTCTTCGTTTCGTGCGGGAAATCCCATTTTAGAGTAATCCAATAACTATGGTTAACACAAATGATGCGTGAGGGAGCGGTAGACAGGTTCACCGCGCGGCGACCTGTTGCGGACGTTGCATGACGTCGTTCCATTCGGAACCGACAGCGGAACCACAACATCCGAGTTCATCTTCCATGATGGAGTCTAATTCCGATATGTCAGGCACGTCCTCAGCTGTCACGCCAGCATCTCCATGGACAAGATGACAACGTCGTAATGTATTTTCTTCATATGAAGCGTACATTTGGCTTGAAGGTCTCTGATACTCGAGTGAGTGAGTGAGTGAGTGAGTGAGTGAGTGAGTTTAGTCTTAGGCCGCTTTTAACAATTCCAGAAATATCAGACCCGTAGATCCGGGTTAGAATTGGCCTTCCTCAAGTTATGCTTGTCGTAAGAAGCGACTAACGGGATCAGGTGGTCATGCTCTCATGCTTTCTGACTTTTTTTTTTTTTTTTTTTTTTTTTTTTCAAGTCAAATTCTTTTTATTGTCTATAGGCCACAGGCCGTATACAACATATATACAATTTTCACTTACATTTACACATGTATACAATAACAAAGGTTGAGTTTACAACAAATATATATGATGTCATAGTACATGGGGAAATCCTACAAAAATATATCTTACTGAATTGGGGGGTATTTTGATGCATGGTATAAATATGTGCATAATTTTCTAGAAGTGTTTCGTTATTAGTAGTTTTTTTGTTTTGGGGTTTTTGGGGTGTTTTTTTCCATCATAAGTTGTATATATAATGTCATATCTGATATATCATAAGTATATAGTATTACATCCCATATGTCAAATTGTAAATAGCATCATATATGAACATATCATATTGTTTATAGCACCACATCTGACATATCAAGCTGTATATTGTGTCACATTCAACATATTTTGTTGTATACGGCGCCATATCTGACATACCATCTGACATATCATACTGTATATAGTGCAACACCCGACATAGCATATTGTAGTGTCACGGCCACTCTATCGTGTTGTACATCTATCGTGTTGTACATAATGTATTATCTGATATACATTGTAAATATGTCTTATCTAACATGTGTTGTATATAGTGCCACAATTATTCTGACATGTCATGCTGTGTCTTGTGTCACATCCAATGTGTTGTGTTATATATTGCGCAACATCCGGCTTATTGTGTTGTATATTGTGTCTTATATCCAACCTATATGTTCCCCAAAGTTACACCAGTGCCATTAACTAACTAGTCAATACATAACTAAAACAATGATAATTTTTCAAAAGGGGAAACAGATCAAGATTTTACAAAAGAAGCGATTGCTGCATACACAGGTCAGGTTTGAAATACTGGGAATAATGGATGCCATTTATTAGCAAATTTCTTCATTTTATTCTTTCTGACTTGGTTGACACATGTCCTCGTATCCCAATTGCGCAGATCGATGCTCATGTTGTTGATCACTGGATTGTCTGTTCCAGACTCGATTATTTACAGACCGCCTCCATAAAGCTGGAATATTGCTGAATGCGGCGTAAAAGTAAACACACTCACTCCAGCAATATATCACTCCAGGGGACACCAAAAATGGGCTCTGATACTCGAATTGGGATAGCATAGTGCTTAAAGCGTCTACACCTCACATGTCTCGATTCCCACGCGGGTACCATGTGTGAAGCCCATTTCTGGTGTCCTCCGCCGTGATATTGCTGAAATATTGCTAAACGCGGCGTAAAACCATAGTCACTCACTGTGATACTCGGCTCGATGTCTTCATAGAGTCGTCGAACGCAGGATCAATGTGTTATGGAAATGTAAAATTCGGTAAAATATGTTTATACCGAACGGATATAAAGCGATATTTTATGTTCGGCCCTGTGACACGCATTATGTTTTAGCAGAAATGTGCATAACTAAGTACAGTAAAGACACTTACATTGATTAACGCTCTAACTGCAGCTAACATTAAATGAGTAACGATCTGCCTTTAGTGACAAAGTGTTGTCCAGCGATGGTGAAACAGCATCCTGCAAATGTTTTTGGGAGTTTTTTGTGTGTTTTGTTTTGTTATTTTATTGTTTTATGTCGTTGTGTTTATGGGTTGTTGGTTTTTGGTGTGTTTTCTTTGTTTTGTTTTGTTTTTGTGTTGTTGTTTTGTTTTTGTTTGTTTTTGTTTTGTTTGTTTTGTTGAGGGTTTATTTTGGGGGGAGGGGTTGTCTGTCTTTTGTTCTTTGTTTTTTTTCTTTTTCTTTGTGTTTTTTTGCTGAGGGAGGGTTGTCGTTGTTTTATGGGTTTTTTGGTTGTTTTTTTGTTATTTTGTTTTTGCTTTTGGGTTTGGGGGGGTTTGTTTGGTGTGTTTTGTTTGTTTGTTGGGTTGTGGGTTGTTTTGTTGTTTTTAATGTTGTTTTTTTATATATAATATTCTATATTTTGTGTTTTCTGAATTTTTAATTTGTCACAGTCACCCTACGCGATTGTAACGTACAGTACAGATATCAACATTGATTAACGCTCTAATCACATGCACTACTAAGTTAAATGTGTAAAATCTGCATTAAATCACTTATGGAAAATAGGTTATAAAAATCTCAATATATGACAATACCCACATAAGATTGGCTGAGCCGTTGGAGGTTCAAGCCATCACCTAGTTACTGAGCCTGAAATTGAGGAGAAAGATATAGTTACATTGGCGACACACGTGCTCTTAAATTCATGATATTCAATATGGTGCAATTCCTGGATTACTTGCAGTTCCGAGCGCCATGGCGACTTCACAAAGCTGCAGCACAGAAAGCATACATAGCCAGCCGAACGTGTGATGTTTATCATCCATTTTCCTTATAAAGATGGCTCCGGTATACCTCTATCAGCAGTCACGTAATAAATTAGGATATATGTCATATAATCGTTATCGGATGCAAATATTTGTAGTCTGCGGGTTGTAGTAAGATTCTTTATCTTGCCAACGCACTGTTTGTCCCTTGCCCTGATAAATCTACAATCGACTATATTAATGTACAAATTCTATTAACATCACAAACCAAAGATCCATCATTTCGATCTTACATATTCATCAAGCTATCCTCCAATAATGAACGCGTGAGTGGACTGTCGATTCTATCATCTTAAGCGATTTCCTCTGTTAAGTAACAACGAAATGCCGATACGGCACCTTTTCCTTTTAAGTTCTCGTTTGTTGGTGTAAGCGGCACCTTGAAAGCATTCGTCCAAAGCCGTTAACTCGAGGGCAGCGCTTTCGCTCACACTGTAAAGCAAACCAGGCAATATTCTACAGAAACTACGCTGCGAAGGGATTTTAACTCCATCTGGTCTATGCAGATGTGGAATCGTCGGAGAATCAATGTATTCCTGCGCGAACAGTTGGACGGCACGCCAACCCGTATTGACACAAAATAGATCCAACGCTCGGCTGTGTGTACCAATGAGAGTTCCCCGCGCCGGCATCTGTAGATCAGCTACGGTACCTAATTCGGCTGGATTTGCAATTCATTTACGAGGTGATAAAATATTGTTACGATAAGTGGCACTGTTGGTTCTAGTGTATGATTACAGTAGGTTTAAAACGGAGATTGAACAGTGTTGGGTTGTTTTGTTGCATTAAACCAGGTACCGGCAGCAAAACAATCAGTTTCAATGTTGTGGAGGCTATTACGCTGATGGATGTATATAAACATACTATGACTGACGCTATACGGGATAATGCTTGTCAGTTTCGCTCGGATGATGTCAATTTCAAGCTGACAGTTTCGTCGGAGCATTTTCTTGCAAAACAAACACGCTGGTAACGTCCTCTCCATAAGCAAGGTAAGTTTTTCTTAAAGTTATCACATTTAACTGATACAACATCAGCCTACATCTCTCTTTTTTTCACAGAATTTCCAGTATGTGCCGATAAAGCTTCACTCACAGTGCAAGACACAATTTGCTTATTAATTAAGTAATTTATTGAATCTTCGATAAATTCGAACAAAGCATATTGCAGGTGCGAAAATGTGATCATTTCAACGTTCAATATTAGGATCTGGAGACCTCTGTCTTCAGCTGTTCCAGTTATCAGCCGACTATATATGCATATATGGAAATGACGAAGTGTTCATTTCAAGTTGTCTGAAATTTGTTTTCCATCATAATTATTTGTATTGTGCAGTCAATAATATGCTCATTATTCGTGCAAACATATCATTGATCCGTGAGGGGTAATCATTAGGTTACCAGTACACAACACAGACCACTTTTAGAGTCATGTAAATCACACATCAATTTCTGAACAATGACAGCCACCTTCGCCACACAAAAATACGATCTTCGGGGAAAATCCTGTCTATGAAATGAAAATGACTCCTTTGAGATATGTATTGATCATTCTCGTATTTCCTACTTCGTTGCCCTTCTCATATTGAATAACACAAACGTGGACGAATTGAGAAGATTTTTGTGAAAGCGAAAGCGGTTTCTGTGACTGACAAGCAGCTCTGCAGGATCTTGTCAATTTCTTGTCAATTTCAAACGCGTCAAATGTGTCCTCTCCGCGACCTCTTGTCTTTGACGATTAAACTCTTGTTTAACAGATGTGACAATGTGGGATGTTGGTTTCACAGCCTTTACGTCATAAAGTTTAAATATTCGATACAAAACATCAATCGTTTTATGCCTTGATATCTGTTCATTATCTCGGGGTGGTGGAGTAACCTAATGGTTAAAATGTTCGCTTTTCTTACCGAAGATACAGGTTCGATTCCACACTAGAAGCCCATGTGTGATGTCCCCTGCCGTGATATAAATGGATTTTTCTAAAACATTTCACACACTCTGAATGAAGGATTAAAAGGCGCAAACATCGTTGGCAAGGGGGGGGGGACCATGCACGTGGTTAACTGCCGAGAGTAGAGGATGCGTACTGTTAAAAGGTGCCTGTATCCTGCACAGGATCACGTTCCTTGTACCAGAACCCGTGAAGATCAGGGGTTAGAATTGATCTTCAGAAACCCATGCTTGTCGTTAGAGGCGACTAACGAGATCGGGTGGTCAGGCTCGCTGTCTTGGTTGACACATGGCATCGTATCCAAATTGCGTAGATCGATGCTCAAGTTGTTAATCACTGGTTTATTTGGTCCAGGCTCGATTATTTACAGACCGCCGCCACACAGCTGGAGTACAAACGACAACCAAACACACAAGCAAAATACTTGCGCCATAATATTATTGCGTTATGTTCTAAACCTTAACATGCTTTTGATCTGTTTAAATATTTTAATTAGTTAGAATCTAAACATATTCATATGAGAAGCTTAGAACCAAACATATTATACATAATAAGTAAATATCATAAGTTGAATGATCGATGAGAGACTTGAAACTGCTCTTACGCAATGAAACTAAACATGTTCAGATTTAAACAAAATCAAATTCTAAACCTCTTAGCCTGTTCAGACCTCGAAATACCAGGATGTTGAGTTTTGTTCATGAATAGTTGAAACAAAACTGTTCTTCCGGTTCTTAAACACGCTAAAAGGAAAAAACCCATCCCATGTTAAATACCAAAATATTAAACGTTAACGCAAGAGAATAAGACGTTTCGATTATCTGTCGAAACAGAATATAATACCAGTATGAATAGTTCAATCAACAAACCAAAGCATTAGTCATCAATCAATTCATTGACAACCGTATTTTAGATGAACAATGCGAAATCAATTGGTTAAATCCAATACGGTTAAATTTTAAAATTTTCATCGTGTTACACATTGATGTAAGTGATTGTACAAAGACACGGTTCTTACTCAAACACAGTTTGACACAGTGTCTCTCAAGGTATTTGAGTAGAAGTATCAGAGTATCGCAAATATTGATTACGTTTTTTCATAAATGCAAAGAAAGTGAACGTAATAGAAGATGATTTGCTCTTAGATTGTACTTAGGTGCAATAAATGTCATCATTTCGAGAGTTCCTAACATTAGGACAATATATTCTTTTGTGACCGGTGAAAACTCTCAACTGAACATCGCTCAACAAAACGATTTCAATGTTACGATTATCGATAGTCTTTGTTTTTCTCGACGCAACTGCACAGAAATTGTAAATGGACGCAAATATCATTTATACCTTGAGTCCCATTGGACACAGGAAGTAGGACACAGGAAGGTGTATAATGTATACTAATGTATATTTAAAATAAAACCTTAGTGAGCATGGTTTTACGCCGCCTTCAGCAATATTCCAGCAATATCACGACGGGGACACAAGAAATGGGCTTCACACATTGTGCCCATGTGGGGAATCGAATCCGGATCTTCGGCGTGACCGGCGAACTCTTTAAACACTAGGTTTCCTCATGTACGTGCATGTGTGCTTGCTCGTGTCTGTGAATGTGTGAAAGTGTATGCGTGTGTTAGTCTAGCCTAATGTCGCCAAGTTCAACAGTTAAAATGTGTTTGTGAAATCTTTTAATCAAGATGTTGTTCTGTTGACGTATGAAGAAATGGTAATCGATAGTGACGTATTTCTGCCACGTGTTACCTTTGTTCTCCAGTCTTTCATAATGATTCGATGATTACCTTTCATAATATGACAAAAAGTAGTCAAATGTGTATCTTTATTTGCACTGTGTATATCATACATGACATACGAAGTTTGTTTAAAGGGACACAAAGCCATTGATACCGCTAGAGGCCTACGTTTTGACAAGCACAATCCACGTATAATAAACACAACTGGGTATGCGCGGTCGATGCTAGGTTGAAATATACAAGCAAATGTCAATTTCTAACGGATATCAACCTCCATTCAAGATGCGGCTCTGGTCACACGTGTTGATTCTGTCAGAAAAGTAAATATTAAATGTAACTACCTTTACACAAGCTAATCGACTAACAGTCCTATCTAATTGGGGAGGGGAAGCGTAACGATTTACGATTGTTAATTCTAAGTATAGAATCAGTTTGGACATGTGAAGACGTGTTTCCTCTCTCTTTGTCAAAGCAACTCGTCAAAATTATTTCAATGTTTATAAAATTCACCGCGGTTAACAGAATGTTTTAAAAGTCAATACCGCCCCTGCTTTGAATTACTCACAAAACATTGTAAGACAACGGTTCTATGTATCAAATCGATAGCACTAACAGGTATCTGTCGAAGATCTGTTTCATTTGATATGAAAGCTGGAAAGTGTGAATTCCACTGACAACATACAATATCCGTGGGCGTTAGGCGAATTTCATACCATGTGATACAGAGGTTGAATATTTGTAGAAGCAATCTTTGAATGGTTTCATTTGCGCTGATAGCTCTCTGCATCCTCTGGGAATCACTTCGACATTTAAATTGTGTTTTACCGACTTTGGTATTGCGAGCTATCAATGGGTTCATATGCTAAACGAGAGAGGTTTTTCACCATCAGAGAAACTGTTGTTAGTCTGGACTTCAGTTACTGGAATAGCCAAGCGATAATGCCTCTAATGAATCAATGTTAGCATTATTCTGTAGCTAGTTCCAATTACGATCTATTCAAAAGTAAGTCTTTGTGCTCGACGGCAGTGCTGCTACAATCTTTGATTTGGACGTTGCAGTGCCTCATTTCTACCCAGAGAACAAACAATTACCTGAAGCTCTTTGGTTTGTGGGTTTCTCTAACTGTGAACGTTAAGAGGGTATTTGTCAGTGATCAAAACCTTCGGTATATATTTATTTTATGAACTGAGTAACCTTGTGCACAGAAAACAGATCAACTCACTGACACAATTATTCCAAGCACATTGAGCGCATTTGTGTTGTGTATGTTTTTAAAAGAAACCATTTTTATAGACACGTTACCATGTCTGTCTCAATGATGTAAACCTTCTGTATATATTCATTATTTAAGAACTGAGTAACCTTATGCAAGGAAACATACAATGCACTAACATAATTATTAGGACATCATCTGTGCTGTGTATGTTTTTAAAAGAAATCATTTTCATAGACATTTTATTGTCTGTTTCAATGATCAAACCCTTCTGTATATATTCATTTTTAAGACCCGTGTAACCTTATGCACATAAAACAGTCAACTCATTAACATAATTATTCGGACATCATCTGTGCTGTGTATGTTTTCAAAATAAACCATTTTGATAGACATATTATTGTCTGTCTCATTGATCAAAAAATTCTGTATATGTTCATTTTTAGGAACCGAGTAGCCTTCTGCACAGACAAGTCAACTCATTGACGTAATTATACCGAGTGCATTGAGAGCATCTGTGTTATGTATGTTTTAAAACGAAACCATTTTGATAGACATAATTATTATTGTCGGTTTCGATGATCAAAACCTTCTGTATATACTCATTTTTAAGAACTGAGTAACCTCATGCACAAAAAACATTCTACTCATTGACATAATTATTCCGACAGCATCTGCGCTCGGTATGGTTTTTAAAAAAGACATTTTGATAGTAGTTTCTTCATGTCTGTTTCAATGATCAAAACCGTTTGAATGTATTCATTTTTAAGAACTGAGTAACTTTGTCCCCAGAAAACATACACAACGCTGATATAATAATTCCGAGTACATTGACAACATCTGTGCGGTGTATCTGTTTAAACCCCATTTTAATAGTCATATTTGTGTTATGTCTGTAAAAAAATAAACCAAATACTTTTTATAACCCAGCTGTTTAGGGTTGCATGAATATCCATTCACCGTGACTATTTGGAATCTTAAAAATGCTTTAATGATTGTTTGCAAGCACGGTTGGCTGCACGAATGTATATGTTTAATGCATTTTCAAATTTGAACAATGATCATTCCTGTGCGACCAACAAT